TTTAGTACTGTATTTTTAATATTAAATTACAAATTAATTTGACAAAATAAGGGTAATTTAGGAATATTATATTTTTACAGATTCATTGACACTTTTATAATAGTATAGATATAGGATGTGGGAAAATTCACAAGTGCTATTATATTCTAATACGTCCCTTCACTTGTGAGTGAGTTCTTCATACTGGGCGTCCCTTCACTTGTGAGTGAGTTCTTCATACTGGGCGTCCCTTCACTTGTGAGTGAGTTCTTCATACTGGGCTGGGTGACGAGTACATCATCACCATAAGTAGGGTGAGCTTTGATGAAACTTAAGTGATGTTCCATCCCGAAATCAATTGGTGAAAGGAGGAAGAGTCCACTAGGCTTATAAGTTAAGCCTATTTTCCTTGTATAAACGATGTGGGACAACTCACAAGTGGTATTATATTCTAATAAGGAAGAAATGTGTACTTTCTCTAGCTTGTGCTCTCTGTGGGAAAATAAGGTTCCAGCGCACAATCAAGATCAATACAACCAAAATCTCAGCTTCCATCAAGAACATGACCAATGCTTTTTCGTCGATATCTGCTCCACGTTTAGCACTGACAATTTTACCCTTCTTCCCTAGGTCGTGTTGGCATGTATCACGTCAGTTCCACAAGTTAGAGGCAACCACCATTCTCTAGTCCAACGAACCCTACTCATTTTCGACTCACCTAAAATGGTTATAACAAACCAGATGTTCAACCCTTCTGGTCACCTTAAGCAAATGTCTTCTTAGGAGGATTTCATCCCGTCTAGTGTACATATTGGGTTTTCAACAGTCGGATTGCTATAATGTTTGTTGGGTCGAATTCTTCGTTCTTTAATCCAACGATCCTTGTTCATCTTTCGCTCACCTAGAATGATTACATTAGCACACATAAGTTGTTTTCTATAAAAATTGTGCTCGATCGAAAGCCAATCAACTAGCTAATCGAGATGATAGTTTTTTAAGAAAACATCAAAGACGGAAGAGATCCAAAAACATAAACAATGAATTTACACTCAGTAGAACTCAGGTAACCAGGAGCACAATGTTACTGTATAATCACATTGTCAATGAAATCAATACTCAAACTTCCTACTCATCACATCGCTCAATTTTGATTTATTTCTTCATTTTGCCTGTAAAGCTTTATATCGTTGAAATATTTTGACTGGTCCCGTCAAACTATTTATTCAGATTATTAACATAAAACAATCAAATGACAAAACAAATAGATTTCACCTTTGAGACCATTTTTATTGGTGACCCTCAAGAGTGGGTCACCAATTTAAAACATTAAAAAAAATAAAAAGAAAAGGGTCATGGTTGTCCAGTCGAGGTCACATTCTGACCCAAGGTTACAACCTTGGTTGGTGTTAAATGAGACACATGTTCCCTTTAGATTGGTCTAAAAATAATTTTTATGTTTAAAATAGGCTTAATTGCTAATAAATCCACGACTTTTTCGAAAATTGCAATTATATGCATCACTTTTAAACTTGGCAAATATATACACCACTTTTATAATTTTTTGCAATTGTATGTATCGGGCCCAATTTCGGGCTTTTGACTGCTGACATGGCTGCTGAGTTTAAAAATGATGCATATAATTGCAATTTACGAAAAGATCATGGTTTTATTAGCAATTAAGTCAATAAAATATTTATTTAATTTTATTTTACTATTTCATTTATTATATTTTCTATCTTATATTATATTATCTTATTCGATAATAAATATAAGATAATGAATATTTATTATATTAAAATAAAAATATTATAAAGTATTACATTATAGAATATTATATTTTATAATATAATAAATATAAGATAATATAATATATAATTAATAAATAATATATTATCTTATATTATATCATTTTATAAAAAACATATTATCTCATATTATATTACCTTATATTATTTTATATTATCTAATACTATCTTATATAATAAGATATATGATAATATAATAAATAATATATTTACTTATACAAAATGGTAAAATAAATAAAATAAATAGATTTTTATTTTATACTTTATTATGTTAGATTATTTTATTCTTATTTAATTTTCACCGGTGCACTTTAATCTAATTTATTTTTTAAATTAATTTTATCATTATTATTTTTTATTTTCAAAATTTATATAATTAATTTTAGAACTAATAAATATAATAATTTATTTCAATGTAATTTAATTTAAATGCACTATACTATAATAATCTATCTTACTTTATTTTAATTTATTTTTCATCTATTATTATATAATTTATTTTATTATATTTTAATTATTATAAGTTTATATCTTATTAATATAATTTACATTATCTTCAAAATTTAATTGTATTTATTAATACGTAGCGTTCATATATTCACAAGTTCAAAATATAATGTATTACATTATAATATTATTATTATTATTATATAATAAATATTCATTATCTTATATTTATTATCTTATAAGATAATATAATATAAGATAGAAAATATAATAAAATAAATAGTAAATTAAAATCAAATAAATATTTTATTGGCTTAATTGTTAATAAAACCATGACATTTTTGAAAGTTGCAATTATATGCATCACCTTTTAAACTCAACAGCCATGTCAGCAGTCAAAGCCCGAAATTGGGCCCGATGCATACAATTGCCAAAAATTGTAAAAGTGGTGTATATATTTGCCAAGTTTAAAAGTGATGCATATAATTGCAATTTTCGAAAAAGTCATGAATTTATTAGCAATTAAGCCTTTAAAATAAAAATAAAAAATAAATACTGCAATTTATATTTTTTTCATTATCTACAAATAGAGACCACACTTGATATATTTTGAGACACAATTATATTTTTCAGATAAACTAAAATAAAATAAATATTTGAGTTGAGTTGGGTTGAGGATAAAAATAAATTTAATTGTAAGGTTAAGTTGTGTAAGTGGTGGAGAGAAAAAATAATTTTTTATTGTTAGGTTGGGTTTGGTTGGGAATAAGGATACTATGAGCCCAGCGCTCACTCTTCTAATCGGGCCACGACCCGGACCTAACAACTGAGCCCGACCGCGTAATCCGCCCAGTTATCTGAGTAGGCGTTCGCCGGCGCCGGGCACGCGAACGCCGCGCAGGCGGCGAGGTCGATGTGGTCGTGGGTGCCTGTCGGTGTCGTTGGATATTAGGTTTTAGGTACGGCCACTGTAATCAACTGGACAAACTGGTAAATGCTTTATGAATTGAAATTGGTTAAGTTTCTTGTACATCTTCGGTAAAAATTTCTTGCTATTGAACACGAAAGCGAAATAGATGTGCCACGCCATTTTTGCAGAGCTCAATACTTACACATTATATGTTTCCTCTGTCATCAGGTCTTGTTCTTGTGCCGTGCCCTTCTTGCAGAGCTCTATGTGATAATTAATCAGTGAAATAAAGACGGGTAAGATGATAGATGATCTCTCCTGTCCTCTAGAGTCTCCCAGAGCTCAAGACATCTTCGTTTTCATCATGTAATGCAGAAAACACAACATTGCCTTAGGCGAATCTTCCTTTTATTCTTATGCTTTACTTTGAACAACACTGGGTTTTCTAAGCGAATCAATTTATTTTACAGATGCTAATACAAAATATTTGGGGAAAATAAAATGTATATGTACCCAAAAGGAAGTATCCATCACTAGCACATTCAAATATTTAAGCAGAGCATTTCCCGTCATGGAATGTTTAGACGTACTATACCGGGCTGACTGGGGAGTTATTTCTTATGCTCAGTCTGGAAAATTGATGCACTTTATAAGTCTCTGAATATTTTGTTAGAGTCTTGTTTTTTCTCTGGAAACCAGTACATTTCAGGAGAGACTACCCTCTAGTCTTCAGAAATTGGTCCCCCTATTCATGGTTCAAGTCGGCCCAAGTAATTTTTCGTGGACTCCAATCAATCCGGTTCAACTAGAAATTAATGTCATGCTTGCAAAATATTTTGGCAACTTTCTTTTCCCAATTATTCAGCATAATTATAATTTTATTCCCATTATCGTGCTTAGTTTCATGATTTCGCTAGTAGCAGTATATCTATCTGTAGCTTATTTCCATGATTGCGCCCCTTGCAGTATAGCTGCAATAGGGCTCCTAACAGTGAAGTTAGAATAAGACCATATTAGAAAGCCTTGAACAAATGACTTGTTGGGTACGGTTGAGAGCCGTGTAAACGTCACCTGATACTGCTTTTTCTCGTTCAGCCTTGAGAATTTGAGCGTCTCGGGCTCGACAAGAACTTTGATGCCAATTGGGGGGACAACAGTCAGTCTGTAAGTCGATTTATGGAGGCCGACATTTGTTACCGTCCTAGTATACTTCTGATAAACCGGCTCACCACCCGTGAAATTAAGGACAAACGACGGATAGTTTATCTCGGCTTCAGGTATGCTTCTCACCCTCGAGCAATCCACCTTGTTGTGCTTCCAAAACATACCGACTTGTGTGTTTGTGTAGTTCAAACCGCACAAGTAAGGGATGTAATCTTTGGGTTCGATGTCGTACACGAGACCTGGATCATTTGCCGCTTGTGGGTTCACGTGGCCTGAACCAGTTGCAAACATGTCAGCTTCGTGAGAATTCGCGTCCTCGATTGGCTTCCCTGCGCGATTCACAACATCTGCTGTAGTCATGATGGCCGACTTGATTGCAGCGGGTGACCAATCAGGATGTGTGCTCCTGAGTAGCGCTGCCACTCCACTGAGGTGTGGGCATGACTGAGAGGTACCGGACAACATATTGAATGTGGATTTCACATTAGTTTTGTTCTCGCGAGAGACCGGCCACGCCGCCAGGATATTTACACCTGGGCCTAAAATATCCGGCTTCAAAATCCCAGGACTTGCAATTTTGGGTCCTCTGGAAGAAAAGGAAGCAACCACTGGTGTATGATCGTCGCCAAACAAGGTTCCTTTAAATAATATCTTGGCCTTGGGTTTCGCCGTCGCGTTTATATATCTTTTAACCTCCAGACCATCCTCATAATCGATGTTTGCAGATGGGAGGGAGTTACCTACCGCCGTTAAAGTTCTCTCCACCTCCTTCACATTAGCCAGGATCATGGCAGCACCGCCAAGTCTTTTAATTGCAGCTGCAGTTGCTATGTCAGGAATTGGATAGTCACACACGACTATCTTCCCTTCCACCTTGCTTCTCTTCAATGAATCATGTCTTGTGCAGTTTGGGGCATAAACAAGCGGCAGAAATTCCTTCTGGAAATCCTTTGGTTGGTAGGCACCCTCGCCGTTGAACAACCGGCTATGTCTGTTTCGCAACACCACAGTTGCTCTCAACTGCCTGTTCATAGTACTCGCGCCAACAGTGAGAGCCCAGGCATCCCATTAAGTACATTATAGTATTCAGGTCCATCGTTTCCCGCCGAGAAGCTGAGAACGATACCATGCTCCATCACTCTGAAAGAAGCATACAACATTGGGTCCTCGTAAAATTGAACTGGTGTTGCAGAGCCAAGAGAAATGGAGAGCACGTCCACTCCTTCCTCCACAGCAGCGTCCATGGCAGCAACAATGCCGGTGGTCAAGCAACCGTGGCTGCCACACACTTTGTATATGGCCAGGTGGGCATGTGGAGCGGCGCCGGCGGCTGTGCCAGCCGCGTTGCCAAAAAAGTTTGCGCCCTCCACAAAGTTTCCAGCGGCCGTGCTGGCGGTGTGAGTGCCGTGTCCATACTCGTCAAGCGGGTTGCGGGTTTCATTTTTGTCTACTACACTGAAATCACGTGCTCCAATGATCTTATTGTTGCAGCGGTAGGGGCACTGGAACTCGCACGTTCCCCTCCATTTGGAAGGTGGGGACGACATTTTAGTGCCGTTGAACGAGGGGTGGTCAGGCTTTATCTCGGTGTCGATCACTCCAATGATGACACCTTTGCCATAACCGGCCCGTTCCCACAGACCCGTGTTTGGTGCACTCAGGCCAATGAATAGAGGGGAATGAGTGGTGTGGAGGGATAGGCTTCTGTCCGGCCACGCAGATATGAAACCCTCCATCTCTTTAATTGCTTCAACCTCGTTTTGCGACAGCCTGGCGGCGAAGCCCGTGAGGACGTGGCGATAGGAGTAATTGATGCGCGACCGTGGGGCCTCCGAGCTCAATGGGTCCGCCACAGGGAGGAATGATTCGTAGTAGGCCGGTAAATCGTTGAGCAGACTTGCGTGGGGCTCTTCAACATGGATTATATAAGTTTGCAAACTGCTTTCAGATGATGCCCAAGCACTAATGCACAACATGGCACAAACTATGGTAATCAGAAATATGGAGGCCATCTCTTATGATCTTGAGAAAGTCCGTTTCTCTCTCTCTCTCTCTCTCTCTCTCTCTCACACACACACACACACTCACACTCACACACAGTGTGGATTGTGGAATCTAAGATTGTTTATGTATTGCTTTGCGTTTACCGTGTATGTTTTCTTCTACTATTTATAGCAATTTATTTCCCTTGTGATGACTGATCTGTACTCTCTATAACTGTGAACTAAATTATTCTGAAATGTTTGTTTATTGATTTTGAGTCAGCCAGGTATGTCTCTGTTCTGTTGCTTCATTTTCCATACTTTATTGTTTCTGTCTCACACTATTCTCTTTCACTAGTCGATAATTATAGATCGTGTAATTCATAGCTACAGCAAATGGTGCTAGTTGTGGCGGATTTGGTGCTCGTTTACTTGAAAAAAAATACATGCTTGACAAATAGACTCATTTTTTTAATATTATCGCAATAGAAAACTGTTTATAGCTTATACGGGATAGCAACATTAAACAATTAAGGCAAATATGTATATTAATACACCAACTTTGTAATTTAGCCATTTAATACACTACTTTGACTATTGTTTTATTTCAGGCTTTTTCTCCTGACATGGCGTTCCATGTGTCAATGACATGTTGTTTTTCTACTGACATGTTTTTCGGTTGAAATGGCATTCCATGTGTCATGGACATGACATTCCACATGTCAATTGGATGTAAAACATTGCTGTTGGGCATGAGATTCGAACTTGCAACATGAAAGTTGCATGATAGCTCTGCCACCACCACACCAAGGTTAATTAATATATGTAGACATTACATATTAATTAAAAAACAATGTAAATTATATTAAATTGACTTATAAAAATATAAAATAATAATAAATTAAATTATATAAAACTAAATGAAAATAAAATAAATTAAGATAAAATATATTATAGTAGAATGAATATAAATTAAATTAAATTTAAATAAATTTCTATATCTATTTATTAAAATAAAATTATTTTTTAAATTTAATTTAATTGATCATGCGTATGTCGATATATATAAAACGCTATTACATTTATCAAGTAACCTAGATTGGGGTGGCAGTGGCAGAGCTACCATGCAACTTTCATGTCTTAGGTTCGAATCACATGCCTAACATGATTTTTTTAATTCAATTGACACGTGGAACACCATGTCAGCAAAAAAAAAAAAAACCGAAATTGGGTTATGTGATTCGAATTGCAAGCCATTTGACACGTGGAACACCATGTCAGCAAAAAAAAGCCTGAAATTGGGTCATGTGATTCGAATTGCAAGCAATAGTCAAAGTGCCAAAGTGGTGTATTTAATTTATTAAATTACAAAGTGATTAAATTGCAAAACAATGAAATGAGATGTATTAATATTCAATTTTGCCAACAAATTCATTAGGTAAATTTATCTAACTGTTGGGGAACTCATAAGTGTTTGGATTGTTAATTTATCGAAGCATGCGTGATAGGTTATATACGATTAATTTTATGTTAATATCTTTTCCTTTTTCATTTTTGTTTTGTGCTATTTTTTAATGCGAAATTGAGTTAAAAGCAGACAATTTTATTTTTTAGAAGTTGTAAAGAGTGTGAATACGTTCATACAGAGTTCTGTCTTTTGTTTTATTTTATTGAAATGTAGACTTTTCTTCTAGTTGGTCATGCAACTATTAAAGAACACAAATTCTTGCATGAGGCAATTCACACTTAAGAGGATCGGTCATTCATACTTTTTGAACAAATATGCATTTATACTGAGATATGTCATTATTTTATTGAGTAAATATCCTCGCTAAATATTATTTGTGAGTTTCGCCCATTAGAAAAATGTCAAAAGACGTTCTTATGAGAAGTGATCTGTACACACCAATGCTTTTTTATTAATTGATTAATTATTTAATTAATTTATTAAATATAATTTGAAATAAATAAATGTTGCTAAAAATCAACTTTTTGTGAATTTGTTATGTATATATCAATTTACGTACAAGTAATGCCAAATGTACTAATGCTAAAAAAAATAATAAAAAAAGAATACCTTTTTAAGGAAACCCCATATTTGGTGATTTTTCCAAACCAAATTTTTGGAATAAAAAAGATAAATAAAATTTTACTCACCAAATAATATCTAAAAATGATTTAACTTTATTCTTATTTTATATAGATAGATTATTTAGCATAATTATGATTTTACTCCCATTATCTCCCTTAGTTTCATGATTTCTATATCTATCTGCAGCTTAGTTCCATGATTGCGGCCCTTGCAGTATAGCTGCAATAGGGCTCCTAACAGTGTACTTACAATAAGACCATTTTAGAAATCCTTGAACAAATGATTTGTTGGGTGCGGTCGCGAGCCGTGTAAACGTCACCTGATACTGTCTTTTCTCATTCAGCATTGAGAAGTTGAGGGTCTCGGGCACGACACGAACTTTGATGCCAACTGGGGGGACAACAGCCACTCTGTAAGTCGATTTAGAGAGGCCGACATTTGTCACTGTCCTATTATATGTTTGAGAAACCAGCTCACCACCCGTGAAATTAAGGACAAACGACGGGTAGTTTAGCTGGGCTTCAGGTATGCTTCTCACCCTCGAGCAATGCACCTTGTTGTGGTTCCAAAACAGACCGACTTGACGGTTTGTGTAGTTCAAACCGCACAAGTAAGGGATGTAATCTATCGGTTTGATGTCGTACACAAGCCCTGGATCATTTGCCGCCTGTGGGTTGACATGGCCTGATCCAGTGGCAAAGATGCTGGCATCGTGAGAATTTGCATCCTCGATCGGCTTCCCTGCATGATTCACAACATCTGCGGTAGTTATGATGGCTGACTTGATTTCAGCGGGTGACCAATCAGGATGTGTGCTCTTGAGCAGCGCTGCCACTCCACTAAGGTGCGGGCACGACATGGATGTACCAGACAACATATTGAATGTGGATTTCACATTTGTTTTGTTTTCGACAGAGGTGGGCCATGCCGCGAGGATATTTACACCTGGGCCAAAAATATCCGGCTTCAAAATCCCAGGACTTGCAATGTTAGGTCCTCTGGAAGAAAAGGCAGCAACAACTGGTGCACGATCGTCGCCAAACACAGTTCCCTGAAAAGATATCTTGGCCTTGGGTTTCTTCGTTAAGTTTATATATCTTTTGACCTCCAGACCATCTGCATAGCCAACGTCTGCAGATGGTAGGGAGTTAGCTACTGCCGTCGTAGTGCTCTCGCCTTGCTTCATATTAACCAGGATAATGGCAGCACCACCATTTCTTTTAATCGCATCTGCATCGTCAATGTCATTATAGTCATAATCACACACGACTATCTTCCCTTGGACCTTGCTTCTCTTCAATGAATCATCACTTGTGCAGTTTGGGACATAAACAAGTGGCAGAAATTCCTGCCGGAAATCCTTTGGTTGGTAGGCTGCCTCGCCCTTGAACAACTGCCTGTTTCCCAACACCACAGTTGCCCTCAACTGCCTGTCCATAGTACTCGCACCAACAGTGAGAGCCCAGGGCACCCCATTAATTACATTATAGTATTCAGGGCCATTGTTTCCCGCCGAGAAGCTGACAACGATACCACGCTCCATCACTCTGAAAGAAGCTATCAACACTGGGTCCTCGTAGAATTGAAGTGGTGCTGGATTGCCAAGTGAAATGGAGAGCACGTCCACTCCTTCCTCCACAGCAGCGTCAATGGCAGCAACAATGCTGGTGTGCGGACACCAGCCGTCTGTGTCACACACTTTGTATATGGCCAGGTGGGCATGTGGAGCGATGCCAGCGGCTGTGCCAGCCGCACTGCCGAAAAGGTTCGCGCCCTCGACAAAGTTGCCGGCTGCCGTGCTGGCAGTGTGAGTGCCGTGTCCATACTCGTCAAGCGGGTTACGGGTTTCATTTTTGTCTACTACACTGAAATCACGTGCTCCGATGATCTTGTTGTTGCAGCTGTAAGGGTGCTGGAACTCGCACGTTCCCTTCCATCTGGAAGGTGGGGACGACATTTTAGTGTCGTTGAACGAGGGGTGGTCAGGCTTTATCCCTGTGTCGAGCATTCCAATGATGACGCCTTTGCCATAACCTGCTCGTTCCCACAGGCCCGTGTTTGGGGTACTAAGGCCAAGGAATTGAGGGGAATGAGTGGTGTGG